CGAGAATGAAACCCAGTGCCTCATACAGGAAGGCAAACACTCTACCACTGAGCCACACCACAGCCCCAGTTACAGTAACTTTGAACAAATGTCTATTACCTGTAACAGTTAATGTTTCAGGAAAGGATTTGATTGGGAACTGTATTAGTCAGCTTTTTATTACTATAATGAAGCAGGCTATTTTATGAAAAGAAAAGGTTTATTCAGCTTATAATTTTGGAAGCTGGAAGTCCAAACAACATAGCATGGATTCTAGCTACATCACATGGTGAGAGTACATATGTATCTCTATGTATATATTTTCTCCCTCTTCTTATAAAACCACCAGGATTCAATTATAGGGGCTCTACCCAAATGATCTAATAACTTTCCCAAAGCTCCACTTCCAGACAGTTTGTTTAAGTTTCTATACTCCTTCTCCCTCACTCCCTCTCTCTTTCTCTAAGGTTCTGTGGATCAAACCCATGGCCTTGTGCATAGTAGGCAAGCATTCTACCACTGGAGCTAATACCCCAGCCCAAGGTTCTACCCTCTTAATACCACTAAATAGACTTCGAGGATTAAACTGTGTGATTCAAGGCAACAAACCATATTCAAACTATATCAACATTGTATCCAAAACTTTGTTATAATGAGTTGGTATTAAAACAGGAATTCTAGAATCTGAGGCATTAGGGTAGAGATTACTTGCCAAAAGTCTTTCTAAAGTTTATAATTTGCATTAAGGTAATATGGGGAAAAAAGGTTGTATCACACAATCCAGCAAACCCAAGAGAAATAAAATCTTATGCAAAACTGTAAATGAACACAAAATGGCTCCACAATGGAAACAAATCAAATGTTTAAATTAATCTCTGTGGCAATCGACGATAGGAAATTAATAGAGCCAGAAGTCTGTATTTGAGTCTGTAGTTGCCGGGGGAAGATGATATAATATAAGAAAAACAGGGGGTGTGATGGTGTATAAAGAATTGGAGGGTATGTGGGTATGATGATGGTGCTGCTGCCTATATTGTGATTGTGGTAGTGATTAAAACTATATATTCAAACTTAGAATCATGTTAGAAAGGATAGAATATGTTGTATGTAAAGTACACCTCAAGCTTAAAAAAACTATAAACATGCAAATATTGCTATAATTTGCATTTGGTTTATATGAGTTATTGTTTTGGTGTGAAAGAAGAGTGTTCTTTTGATGTCTGCATTTCAGGAAGTTGACTAACTCTTCAATGAAATGTGAATGGTAACATTTAATGAGTACTAATGAAGAAGTAAGAGTATCAGCTGTTTAATCTGAGAAGGTCATTTTCTTATTCTGGCCAAGGAAGGAAACTACTTCTAAAATAGAAAGAGACTGGAAGAAGAAAACAGAAACTTTGAAGCAGTCTATTATTTTAAAATCTGTTTTGGCACTTGACCTATAATTGTATAGCAGGGTCATCCTCAAAGAATACTACTAGTAATATTTATTTGATGTACTTTCTCTTTTTTGGCACAAGGTTTAAACTAGTAAATCATGACTAGATTATGAGCCAGAATTCTGTCTGCTCAGGTTCAAATCCTGGCTTTCATGTATTCGCTGTGTTATTAAGTTACATAGCTTAGGTAAATTACTTAACCTCTGTCTGGATCCTTAGCTTCTTTGTCTTTTTTTTTTTTTTTTTTTTAAAGAGAGAGTGAGAGAG